CTTTCTTCAATTCTGCTAATTTTTGGTTTATATATTTTGATGGCCTTTTGTTATATGTATATACATTTACAATTGTTATATATTCTTGCTGTATTGAGCCTTTTATTAGTATAATGTTCTATATCTCTTTTATCTTTTAGCGTTTTTTTTACTTAAACTCTATTTTATGTGATATTTTGCTACTCTGCTTTTTGTGGGTTACTGTTTGTATGAAATAATGTTTTCTATCCTTTCACTTTTAAACTCTGTGTGTCTTTGGATATAAAATGAGTCTCTTGTAGGCAGCGTTATGTGTTTTAATTTATTCTGCCAATCTGTGTTTTGACCAGATAATTTAATTCATTTACATTTAAAGTAATTATTGATAAGCATAGAATTACATCTTATTTTTCTACAGATGCACCTTAACTTGTGGTGGGGTTATGTCCCAATAAACATGTGTTAAGTTGAAATTATTGTAAATGTAAAAGCATTTAATATACCTAACATACCAAACATCATGGTTTAGCCTAACCTACTTGATTATTTTTCTTTTGCCATTTCAACAGTTTAAAGTGTACATGTCAGTGCATTAAGTACATTCAAATTCTTGTGCCTACTAACTTCAATGTTTTAATAATCCCGTACTGAAACAGTATAGTCATTAAACAGTAACTAACCTCAACATTTTAATAATCCCGTACTGAAACAGTGTAGTCATTAGACAGTAACTAACCTCAACGTTTTAATAATCCCGTTCTGAAACAGTGTAGTCATTAGACAGTAACTAGCCTCAATGTTTTAATAATCCTGTACTGAAACACTGTAGTCTTTAAACAATAACTCCCTGTTTCTACTTCTACCTAGCCCAAGTAACTCCTGTTCTCTGTCCCTGTGAATCTGACTATACTATTCCACATAAATGGATTCACACTGTATTTGCCGTTTTGTGTCTGGCTTACTTCACTTACCTAGCATAGGGTATTAAAGCTTTATCCATGTTGTAGCATGTGTCAGGACTTCATTCCTTTTTAAGGCTGAATAATAGCCCATCATGTGTATATGCTATATTTTCTTTATCTACTCAATTATTCCATGGACATTTTGGTTGTTTTCACCTTTTGGCTGTTATGGATGAAGAAAATGTGGCACATATACACCATGGAATATTCTGCAGCCATAAAAAAGGATGATTTCATTTTCTTTGCAGGGACATGGATGAAGCTGGGAATTATCATTCTCAGCAAGCTGGCACAAGCACAGAAAACCAAACACCACATGTTCTCATTCAAAAGTGGATGTTGAATAATGAGAACACATGGACACAGGGAGGGAAATATCACACACTGGGGCCTGTTGGAGAGTGTGGGGCAGGACTAGGGGAGGGATAGAAGGGGTGGAGGGATTGGGGAGGGATAACATTAGGATAAATACCTAATGTAGGTGATGGGGAGATGGAAGCAGCAAACCACCATGGCATGTGTATGCCTATGTAACAATCCTGCATGGGCTGCACATGTATCCTAGAACTTAAAGTATAATTAAAAAGAAAAAGCAAAAAAAGAGTAATCAAAACTGAGCATTGAGGAATAAAATGCTACATATTAAAAGAATAAAAGAAGGAAATGACACTATCAATGCAATTAATGCAGAAAAAATTATTGGGCAAAATTCAACATCTTCTCATGACTAAAACACTCAACAGGCTGTGTGTGGTAGCTTACTCCTGTAGTCCCAGCACTTTGGGAGGCCTAGGTGAGCAGATCACTATGAGATTTACCTCAAAAAACCCCAAAAAGGAAAAAAAACATTCAACTAACTGGTACATCAACAGATACTATCAATGGAGTAAAAAGGCAACCCCATATGGGAGAAACTGTTAGCAAATTACATGACTGATAACAGATTAGTATCTAGAATAATTGAAAAACTCCTACAGTTCAACAACAAAAAAATGAACAACCCAATTAAAATAAAGGGCAAAGACTGGGTGTGTGGTGGCTCATGCCTATAATGCCAGCACTTTGGGAGGCTGAAGCGGGTGGATCACTTGAGACCAGGAGTTCGAGACCAGCCTGGCCAACATGGTGAAACCCTGTCCCTACTAAAAATACACAAATTAGCTGGGCATGGTGGTGGGCACCTGTAGTCCCAGCTACTCAGGAGGCTGAGGCAGGAGAATCACTTGAACCCAGGAGGCAGAGGTTGCAAAGAGTAGAGATTGCACCACTGCACTCCAGTCTGGGCAGCAGAGGGAGACTCCATCTCAAAACAAACACACAAACAAACAAACACACAATAAAGAACAAAGGGCTTGAATAGACAGTTCTTCAAAGAAGATATAGAAATGGGGATAAGCACATGAAAAGATGTTCAACACTGCTAATCATCAGGGAAATGCAAATCAAAACTACAAGAAGACACCACCTCACAGTCATTATCATGGCTATTTTCAGGAAAACAGAAAATAACCAAATGTTAGTGAGAATGCGGACAAATTAGAACCTTTGTGAGTTGCTGATAGAAATGTAAAATGATACAGCCGCTGTAGAAAATAGTCTTGTGGACCCTCAAAACATTAAACAGAATTATCATATGATCCAGAAATTCTACTTCTGGATACAAACACAAAATAATTAAAAGCAGGGAGTGGAACAGATATTTGTATAACAGTGTTCATAACAGTATTATTCACAATACCCTAACCTGCTTTAGACATACTCAGAACACTTGCAGTAGCAGACAGTGGGCAAAATCATCTAACACAAAGCTTATGTTATAATAAAGCTTTAACTATCTTATGTAATTTATTGTATTCTCCACTGAAATTGACAGACAGAATGGATACTTCAAATATAGTGTTTAATGAATATGTATCACTTTCATACCATTGTAAGGTCAAAAATAAGTCAAATCATTATAAAATTTGTGATTATAAAACCATTTATATTTGCTTTTTATATGCTTTATAGCTTTTTTGTCCTTCATTTCCTACATAATTGTTTTTTCTATATTGTTATTTTTTTAAGTAAAATGTTTAAATTCCTACTTGATTTCCTTTTGTGTATATTCTGTAGCTATTTTCTTTGTGATTACAATGGGGGTTACATTTAATATCTTAAAGTCATAACACTCTAGCCTGAAGTCATACCAGCTTGATAACATACAAAATTTTGTTGCTTTTTCAGTTGTTGATGTAACAAAATTATTTCTTTGTGCATTGTATATATAACAATATAAGCTAATAATTTAATGCACTCATTTCTTAAATTATGTAGAAAGCCAAAGGGAGTCATTAATCAAATTATCAAATAATATAAAATTTTAAACTTGTAATTTAAAAAATTATTAGTTTCTTAAATCATGTTGAAAACAAAAAGCAAAGTTGCACATCACGATTGCAATGAGGTTAGCTTTTATAAGTGTTTACCTGCTTGTCTTTACTGAGAGCTGTATTTCTTGGTATGGTTTTGAGTTACTGTGTAGTATCATATCACTTCAACCTGCAGGTCTACTGTTAGCATTTCTTGCAGGACAGGTCTAATGGTAATAAAGAACTTTCTCACTTTTCTTTTTTTAACCCCTGGCAAAGTTTTGTTTTTCTTTCTCAGTTTTAAAAGAAATTTTTGCCAGATATAGGATTCTTGTTTGATTTTTTTTTCTTTTAGCACTTTGAATATATCAGCCCACTGTTTTCTGGCATCTAAAGCTGCTGAGAAGAAAACTGGATAATTTTATTGAGGATCCCTTGTATATGATGAGTAACCTCTCTTGCACCTTTCAAAATTCTCTCATTGTCTTTGTCTTTTGACAGTTTAATTATAAGGTGCCTCAGTGTTTGTCTCTTTGAGTTCATCTTACTTGTACTTTATTGAGCCTTTTGGATGTTTATACTCTTGTCTTTGATCAAATTTGGGGATTTTTTGGCCATTATTTCTTCAAGTATTGTCCCTGCCTTTTATCTCTGTCTCATCCTTCTGGGAATCCTATGAGGCATACGTTGGTATACTTGACTGTGTCCCACAGGTCTCTTAGGCTCAGTTCACCTGTCTTCAGTCTTTATTCTTTCTGATTCTTAGACTTATTAATTTACTTTGACCTCTCCTCAAGTTTTCTGATTCTTTTGCCTTCTCAATTTGCTTTTTCATTCCTCTAATGAATTTTTTATTTTGGTTATTGTAGTTTTCATTTCCACAATTGCTTTTTGCTTTTTTTTCCTTTTATTGATATTCCCATTATACTCATGCATTGTTTTCTTAACTTTCTCCTTGCTTCCTTCAGTTCTTTGAGCACTTTTAAGACAGTAGTTTTAAAGTCTTTGTCAGGTAGATCCACCATCAGGTTTTTTCAGAGACAGTTTCTATTGGTTTGTATTTTTGTTTTGAACAGACCAGGCTATCCTGTTTCTTTGTATGTCTTTTGATTTTTTGTTATTGTTGAAAAGTGCACATTTGAATCTAATAATATAGTAACTCTGGAAATCAGACTATTTATCTTCCCCAAGGTTTACTGTTATTTTTGTTTTGTGGGGTTATTGTTGCCTGTCTCTGTGCTAAGTGTTAGCTTTTTTGTGAACTTACGATCTTAATTATTTTCTGAGCCTGCATCTTTCCCTGTTTATGTGCAGTGGCTTTCTCATTTCCTCTATTGTTTTCAAAGGCCCTGGTCATCAATGTCTGTCTCCCAAAATGAGAAAAAGTAAAAAAATAAAAATAAAGAAAGGAAAAGAAAAAGTACTGGCCTTTTGAGTCCCATGTAAGATACTTCAGCTGGAGTAGGAGGGGCAACACTAATGATAGTTGCCTCTTTTTCTTTGTGTGTGTGATTAGAAGCAGCAATTCATGCACAGATCCTTTATATATGGAAGATGGGTCCTTTTTGCCCAGCATGGATCAGGTAAGCTATATGCAAGCTTCTTCAAGAACATGTGCACAGATGCCTGCCAAGAATATAAGAAGTGGGGTATAGGTAGCTGCTACTGTGCTAAGATACAAAATTTACCCAAATTACCCACAACTTACCATCTGAGGCTTCCCTCCAGATATTAGATGCCTTTAGTAGACTCTTGACTTCCAAAATAACTTCTTAAATGGTGTCAGTGCAATGGGTGCCGAAAGACAGGTTTATGGTGCTTCCTGCTTTGTCATATTCTCCGAATCCCTTTAACTTCCTTTTGATTTCTACTGAAAAGAATTTTCTCGATTCCTCTGTGTGCCTGCAACTATTCCTTTTCACCCTTCTTTACCAGCTCCTCCCCCTTTCTTCCTGTCACTAAATTTACATGCCCACTCAGAGTTTTCCATTTGACCTTCTGTTTTCTTTCAGTAGATGTCACAACTCTAATAGGATCAACTTTGGTCTTTCTTTATCTAGTTACTTGAACTGCTTATGACTTGGTACTGGGTTTTCCTTTGACAAGTTTTCTTTCATTTATCCATGAGATCTTTTTGTAGATAACACCTGCCTTTTCACTAAGTCTACTCATCATCTTGCTCAAAGGCTTACATTCTCTTAGAGATGCCATTATATTTTCTAGCCTTGCTAGCTAAACTGTGTTTGTTGATGATACATCTTGCTTTCTTTGTATATCTATCACCAAGGTTTACAGGATTATTTCAATCTCTGTATTTTTTTGCCCATCGTCCTTGTTCATATCTTCTGGGTTACACCTACTAATTACCTTTATTCTATCTTTTTTACATTCTGACTGCATATCTATAACCAATTAGTAGTTAAAAATATTATATGCTTCCTCTATCTTTTTATTGTATGCCACATTAAATATCTCCTCTTGGTTTATTTTTCAGAGAACCCTGTGACTTACCTCATCTTATATAGTGCACCTTATTTCACACTATGCTTTCGATATGGTCCTTGCTCTTTTGAAGCTTATGTCCTTATTGTCAGCTTCCTATGCCAAGCTAATTTTTCTTGTATCTTTCTTGATACCTGACACATCCTCATTTTAAAAAGCCTGACTTTACTGTTTACTCATATGTGTCTGACAACTGGATCATCTTAATCTCTCTCTTTTTTCCCTCCTGAGTCTTTTGATTGAGTCATGTGATATGGTGACATGAGCCCAGGATTTAGGGCTAAGAAGCCCTGCTAGGTCTCTTGCCACTGCATTTCCCAACTTTACATGCAAAATGAGGATATTAATAGCAGTTTCTTAGAAGGTTATTTTGGGGATTAATCGAGATAATGAATGTGGAGTATCCAACAATTTCTGGTTCAGAGTAAAGGCTACTATGAGTCAGTTAATAAATAAATTTATTAATGCTGTTTGATTTTTCTGCCACTTAATGTATGCCCTTTTGTGGAATAATGTAATCATTGCCTGTACAATAATCTTGCCACCACACTTTATTTTATAAAGCCAGAATCATAATGTGGGAGAACTTTAGAAATTACATAAAATCACAAATCATAGAGCACCAGATCTGACATAGTCCTAACCTACCTGCTCTTTCTTGTGATGAGGAAACTGGAGCCTAAATTTGTTAAGTGAACTGTTCAGGGTGACCCAGTTAGTAGGAGAGCTGGCCCTAACCACTATTAGAGGTTTCTGGACTCCCAGGCCTCTGGTCTTTCCATTACCTTCTTGTTCAGAAGGTAATGCCTAAAGGCAGGATCACAACTCATATTTCTATATCACCCATAACCTTTATTTTATTGCAAGAAGGTAGAATAGCTACTTCATTGATATTTGTGGCTTGCTTGATTGATTCTTTCTTTGAATGAGCAATAGGAATTCTCTGGGAAAAGACTTATGAAGTCTGTAATATACTTATCAAAAGCACCCTTTTGATGCTTTTGACACTGTTGTAAGCATGCAAAGGGTTCAACATGCACTGCTTCTTTGTACTGACTCAGGGTGGTGGGGAAAGGAAATGGGAGAGGAAGTTATATACATCTTGAGCAAATCAAGCTTTTCTATTTTTAGTCCTTGCTACTGTTTGGAAAGTACAGCCTCTGTTCATGGCAGTCTGGCATGTGTTTCCTTAGTGCCATTTCAAAAGGGGGACAAATAAATATGGGAATTTTGTTTTTTGTAGTGAAAATAGTTACTCAGTGAAATCACATAAGTTTCCCGTTTTTCTCTTGATGAAACCTCAAACCAACTAGACACAGATTCCTCAACCTCAACTGTGCATGTCAAAGGCTCATGCAGAACAGAAGACCCAAGTCAGCACAACCTTGTATAGCAAGATATGCTCTGATGCCACAGAAAACGTGGGGCGGGTTGGGGGATGGGGAAGGCAGGGAAGGGAATGTTGCTGTTCTTTCATATTCAGTGGGGAACCTGGCCAACTACCAGATTCTTGCCCCCAGGAAAAGGCTGAAACCTGAGCTAGGTAGATAAAGAGACACATAGCATCACAGCTTTTTGCTTAAGCTTTTCCTGTTGCTTTAGTTTCTCTCCTTGGTAAAAGTTTCCCTGAGTGCTTTAATAGCTACTTCCCCAATTCAAGTAAATAATTTCTCTTTAGCGGTTACGATGGCATTTGGGGAATTTTTCCAATCTAAGGCAATATCATTAGGGGACAGTAAAGAGCCTTCTGCTAGTAAATAAAATGATTTGATCTGTATTTAGATGGATTGCTATAATACAGTGGTACTCAAGTGATCAGAAGTGGCAATGATAGAATGTCTTGGGTCAAGTTCAAGGGTCTGAACTTGGGGCCGATGAGGGCCTTAGCCAAGGTGATGGCCATGACCATGGAGAAGGGGAACAAGAATCAAAAGCAATTGGGAAAGAGGGGCTTATGGGAAAGAGAAGAGTCCAGGATGCTTTGCAGGAGTCTTCTGACTTTCTTCAAGGGAAGTACATATCCTTTCTGTCGTAGTATGTGCTAAATAGAAATATCCTTTGAAAAAAATCAGGTCTCTGAGGCAACTGTGATGTGAAAGTTACTAGAGGAAATGTTGATACTGATGAGCAAATATTGCCCTTTGTTAATGAGAGGGACTGTACAGTCTCCAGACATAAACAGCTCTGTCTAGATAAAATTGTAGCAGTAGGGTGAGAATAATGCATTGCTATAATTAATGCTAATTTGTGGATATTGCTGTATTGTTGTCATTGTTTTTTAATTGAATATGTATTAAGCTCTAATAGGGTGCTATGAATAATGCCAACTTATAGTTGATTTATCAGAACACTCAGAAGAGGCTTTATAAACAACAATAAATGGAAAATCACAGCACTCCTTCGAGGTGGTAATTGTCTTTGCCATTTCTGCAGATGAGGAGAAGTGAAGTAGATTGCATTTGCTCTGTTGGCACTGTGAGTGAGAACATAGAAACTGTCAAATGAGAGAAAAGTATTTTCCTTGTCCCCTGGAATTGGGTTAGAATACATTAGTAAAGAATTCTCCTTAAATGTGTTCAGAGTTGTGGGATTTTAATTAAATTGTTCCAGTTATTGTTAGCACTTGGATTAGCAACAGGCAACCAAATTCTAGGCCAGTGGATTTCAAATTTAGCATGGACAAGAATTTGGGTTAGGTTGGTGGGTTTGTTAAATGCAGATTACTAGGCCCTGCATTTAAAGGTTTAGATTTGGTAAATCTACGAGTGGGTTTAAGAAAGTCTTACGTTCGTTGATCTCTAAGGTGCTTCTGTCCTCCAAGGTCGCTAGCTTTCTTTCAAAAGTATTTTCTTATTTTAGGACGTATCTTTGTCCACTAAAATCTAGCTTTACCTGAGACCAAGACTTTTTATTTAATAGTTGCAAAGTCTTCTGTTACACACCAAGTATGATCTTATAATCCTCTTTTTTAATAGAACATACCACTAGCAAACGTGCAGAAGACTTACCATACCCTTGGCATTCTAATGGACACACGATTTCTACTACCTTATTTCACCTGGTCTCCAAAATGTCCTTGCCAGGTTGGCAGTATTACTCCCCTATTTCATAAGACAACACTAGAACTAAGAGTACATGACTTGTTCAGACATCACATCTGGTTTAATCCTTTCTATCTTAACCTGGTTAGGCACACATTTTTACTTTAAGTTTGAACAACAGGTGGGATTCTTTTTGGCACTGATGGTTTGCAGCTGACAATAGAGCCTGTACACCTGGCTTAAGTGGACCTATCCCATAAGGAAGAACATTCACATTGGAACAAGGGAGAGGTGGAAAGGAAAGTTGGAAGTGATTAATTCAACTTTTCATTATTTTTTTTGGTCTGATTTCTTTAATATGAGGGACTGAACTTCACTGAGTAAAAACAATAGACATTTGATTACCACTCGACTCTGAATATTCTTTGAAAAAAGGAACATTTCAGTGGGCATGGTGGCTCACACCTGTAATCTCAGCACTTTGAGAGGCGAAGGTGGGTGGATCACAAGGTCAGGAGATTGAGATCATCATGACTAACATGGTGCAACCCCGTCCCTACTAAAAATACAAAAAATTAGTAATGGCATACACCTGTAGTCCCAGCTACTCGGGAGGCTGAGGCAGGGGAATCACTTGAACCCAGGAGGCAGAAGTTGCAGTGAGCTGAGGGTGAGTCGTTGCACTCTAGCCTGGGTCACAGAGCCAGACTCTGCCTCAAAAAAAAAAAAAAGGAAAGATAAAGAAAAAAGGAACATTTCATAAGAAAGCTTGAAATGAGACATGAGGAGAATTCTGGGGTAGAGAAAGGATTTTTAAGTTGAGACAAGAATAGCGAAGCTTGAGACGACATAACTCCTTGCCTCCTTTAGACTTTCTTCAGCCTCCACCTAGCAAAGTAACAGCCTTGTCTTCCAGTCTGTTGTATTGTATTCCCTGGGTCTAAGGCAGAAATGCATATGTGCTCCAATCACCCAGGTTTGCTGTGCTGTAGAATTACATTTCTGATTAAGGTGAAATCAGTAGCTTTCTGATACGGTCTCTCACTCACTTTTTATCAATGGCAACCTTTTCCATAAAAATAGGAATTTCTGCTGGGAGTGTTTTAATATAAATTGTCTGTGCACAGCCTGAAATATGTGTGATTCATACCATGTGTTTGTTCCCACATCAACACTAAGTCCCAAGATACAATTACCCCTGCCCACTCTCTCCTTCGTCATGGGGAATGTGTTTATCCTTTAGATATCAGCACCTTGGGTAAGCGCCAAGCTCCTTATATGCCTAGGTTTGCACATCTGCATTATCTGACCACAGCTGACCCTTTGAGTCTGCTCTGACTCTATTTTTACCTTAAAGAACACTTGTGTTTGCCAAGTACAC